TAAAACATCCTCAGGGACAGAAACCTGTACTTCTGGGCGGTCTTGTCTGGTTCTGGGTTCTGACCTCTTTCTGATCTGGAAGAAGACCACCAGCGCTCCAGTGTTGCAGNTTTGGGAACCACAGGGTCTCATCTCTGCTGTATGCAGATGATGTGGTTCTGTTGCTGTCTTTGAACCAAGACCTTCAGTGTGCACTGGGGTGATTCATAGCCTAATGTAAAGTGGTAGAGGTAACAGTAGGGTTGGGCGATATTGGCAAAAAAATTAATCACGATAAATTTTGCCAATAACGATTAATCCCCTGGAGTCCCTGAATGCCTGCATGTCCTGGTCACGACCAGTTTAAATCACTCAGACTAGCTCTCCATAAAAATCAGTTCCAAACTGTGTCAAAAGTACAGACATCAGTTTTTAAATTGTGTTGTTAGACCAAGTARAACCAGTTACGATAAATAAATTACAGAACTTTAAAAAAATGTTCATCATATTTGAAGCAGAGAGGAGCACTGAGCGGACTGACTGGGGAAATCTCCAGTCTGCCTGGTGGAAYTAATCCTATTAATCATCAAGTTCAAAAATAATCGATTAGAGTTTTTCTGATGATTATTTGCACACAATACCATTTTGCCCARCCSTAGATGAAAGTCAGTTCCTCTAAATCTGAGACCATGGTTSTTGGCCGGAAAAGGGTGGAATGCCCCCTCTGGGTCGTGGGGAGAGTCTCTGCCTCAAGTGGAGGAGTTGAAGTATCCAGTTGTCTKGTTCCTGAGTGATGGTAGGATGGATYGACSGAATGAGACYTCGTCYTCAGTAATGATGGTGTTGCTTTGGTCGGTCATGGTGAAGAAAGAGCTGAGTCCAAAAGCAAAGCTCTGAATTTACTGGTCTGTCTATGTTGAGTCTACCAAAGATCTGAGACCGGGACAGAGGTCCAACTTCCTTAACACACTGCTAAAGGACAGTCCTCTTGTTTAATCAGAACCAGGTAAAGATCCTGGACCAGTCCAGTTTAAAACCAGACCTAAATCCAGCTGAGAAGCTCTGGTTTGATTTAAACTCAAGCTCAGCTGTTACAGAAYAACAATAAATAAAGAGACGGGTCTATAAAACATCCTCAGGGACAGAAACCTGTACTTCTGGGCGGTCTTGTCTGGTTCTGGGTTCTGACCTCTTTCTGATCTGGAAGAAGACCACCAGYGCTCCAGTGTTGCAGAGGAAGGCCACAGGAAACACCAGGATGTAGGTACAGGTGTAGGCAAGGTACTTAAAGGTGCTGTCATCATGGTAACAGTGAGACAGGGCTCTGACCGGTACACTGCTGTTGGTGATGTTGGTGCTGATGGTGCTGACCATTATTCCTGTTAGAACACAACCAGACAAATTCTAATGAGAAAACAACTCAAAGTGTTAAAGGTTCATCCAGTTTGTTCATGAATCACTGACAGTTTCCCTGTTT